AAATTTGTCAGGGTTTGGTTTTCCCCCGACTTTGCGGGCGGTACCGGGCAGTACTTAGTGTGATTGTCCTGTTGAGGCGGTGACCCAAGGTCGAGTGTCCTGTAGCATTGAAGGGGCAAGGCTAGTCAATCCGCCGTGATTGGTCCCTCAGAATATTTATATATTTATATACATACATATATATACATTTATATAAACGTATATATGTATGTATGTATGCACGCACGCACCCGCGCGCGCGCGCACACACACACACACACACACACACACACACACACACACACACACACACACACACACACACACACACAACACACACACACACACACACACACACACACGAGGGAGAGGGAGAGGGAGAGGGAGAGGGATAGAGAGAGGGGGGGGAGAAGGGAGAAGAAGGGAGGAGGAAGACGAAGTGAAAGAGATAAAAAGACAATAAACAAAACAGTTTTACTTTAAGCGAGAGAGAGAGAGAGAGAGAGAGAGAGAGAGAGAGAGAGAGAGAGAGAGAGAGAGAGAGAGAGAGAGAGAGGGATCGTCCTTAATTATTCACGTCGTTTTTTAAGGTTTCTCGAGTGACAAATACCCGTAAATCACAAAACACGAAGCAAGAATCACACTTTCCCTAAGACTCAATTTTGCTTGCGAGGAACAAAAACAAATATATCACTACGAAACGCTACCTCTCCCTATTTTATTTTCATGGAAGGGGAAAGAGAGAGAGAGATAAAGAAGTAGAAAAAAGGGGAAGAGAGTTGGAGAGAGAAGAGAGAGAGAGAAAAAAAGGAGAGAGGGAGAAGGAGAGACAGGTGGAGAAAAAATGGAGAGTTGGAAAGAGAAGAGAGAGATAAGAGGTAGGAAAAAGGGAGAGAGGGGGAAGGAGAGATAGGTAGAGAAAAAAGGGGCAGAGAGTTGGAGAGAGAAGAGATAGATAAAAAGAGGTAGAGAAAAGGAGGAGAGAGAGAGGAGAGATAGGTGGAGGAAAAATAAGAAAAGAGATGGAGAGAGAAGACAGGTATAGAAAAAGGGGGAAGAGAGAGATAGACAGGTAGATCAAAATTGGGAAGAGAGAGATAAGAGAAAAAAGGGAAAGGAGGAGTAAGAGAGATAATGTAGAGAAAATAATGGGAAGAGATAGAAAGATAAAAAAAGAGAGACAGACAGGTAGAGAAACATATGGGAAGAGAGAAAGAGAAAGAAGAGAGAGAGAAAAAAAGAGGGAAAGGAAAATACTGACGATTAAGCTATACGCCAGTAAGTAATTTGCATATCAGACACAAAAATTAATCGTAAAAATCGCAAAAGAAAATCCAACAAGGACAATTTATCTGTAGATCCAATTCAGAATTTGTTTACTTGACAGCAAATTAAATAACCCTTTCACGGCATGACTCATTATCATATATTATGTATAGCTGGACGAGACACTTGGGCACTACAGTGTGTGTGTGTGTGTGTGTGTGTGTATGTAGTCTAGGTAGTGTCAAGTGCTTGCATGCCTTCTCGTTTTCAGCTGCCCAGTGCATAAAAGGGAGCAGCTCTATATCAGCCCCCTCTGCCAGTTCATAGCCTCTCCATCATCGACACTTCAGCAGTGCCACCCATGCAAACTGAGTACCTTGAAGTCCCAGGCTATACTGTGGGGGATCTCGGAGCAGCAGGAGGCCCCAGAGGTACAGTCTGGGACTAAATTCCTCGGAAAGGTTTTGTGTATTTTGTTTATTGCCTAGAGATGGCGCTGCGCTAGATGAGTGGGAGTTCATTGACCTCCTCGTATTTTCCTCGATCTCGTTGAGTCAGACACATGTTTGAAGCAATGTAATGAATCCCTACAACCCAACTCTGGCCTCCTCTCCTCCATTCAGGAATCCGCCCTTTTACTACACAGTGATTACAGCGCCATCTCTGGGCAATAAACAAACACACAAAACCTTTCCGAGGACTTTAGTCCCAGACTGTACAGGGTCATGGCCCAGCTTCCTAGGGTTAATGTGTGGCTTGGGGAGGTGGTCCTTGCCAGTCCTCCATTTCCCCATTATAACCCGTCGGCAGTGCAAAATATAATTGGACATGCTGGGGAGGACCCTCCCACCCAGCAAGTGAGGCAGACTGTGGGCCCTGTTGGGAAGGCAACTGCTGGGACGTAGGATGGGAATGAGAGCTACTCGTCCCACCTGCGTTCTGACAGCCGCCAACCCAGTGCAAAGCCCAAGGGAACCCCACAGGCGGATGTTGGGTCCCAAAGCCTGCCGCCTCCCTCTATATGGAACAACGTCGGCGAGGGTGGCAGAGGTGGCGGCCACCTGGAGTAACTGCTTTAGGTTAAACCTCAAGTGGGACGTCAGTGTAGGGACTTGGAACGTCCGCTACTACTGTCGACGGAACTGAGGAGGCTGAGAGTTAAGTTGGCTGCACTCTTGGAGGTGAGAAGACCTGGCAGCAGCACAATTAGTGTGGGTGGCTACACCTATTATTGGTTAGGCCGCGGCAATGGTCACCATCTTCAGGGAGTAGCCATAACTATTTCAAACAGACTTCAGCCCTTGGTGGTAGAGGTTACTCCGGTCAATGAGCATATTGAGACTGAAACTTGCATTTGGCTTTATGTCTCTTATTGTTGTGTACGTTTCTACCGATGTTTATAAACTCAACGTGAAAGAGATGTTCTATGTTACGGACACATGCTAAACTTGCATCTGTGTCCCAGTTGTCCTTGGCGAGATATTTGTATTGTTCTGAGTGAGTTCACTGTGGTATCTGGCTGAGATTGAGCTGGCTATGAAATATGTGTCGGACTCCTTGGTTCAGGAGTTGATGCAGCAAGAAAAACCTCCTTTTCCGGGACTTTGTAAGGTCTCAGAAATTGATGATTTCTGTCTCATGGTACCAGTGCTCTGACTCACATCGTTGGATGTGGTAGAGTGATGCGGGTAATGCAGCCAAGGTGATCGACCACTTCCTCGTTAGAATTCATTGGAAGATCCTCCAGAACTGCAGGGTTTATAGGAGTGCTGAGTTCTGTGACTATAGATTAGTTGTGGCTACCTGCGGGTCCACTTCAAAACTCCCAATCAGTCCAATGACCAATCTAGGGTGTTTCAATTGGACAGGCTGAGAGAGGGGGAGTGAGCCTGTAGGGTTGCTGAGGCAATTTCTGGTCGTTTCACTGCGGATCCCGTAATTCGGTGGGACACCTTGTTTATTTCAGTCTCTCTCTCTCTCTCTTGTTATTTTTCTTTCACCCTTTTCGTTTATTTCACTCTCTCTCTTTCTTTTTCTCTCTCACTTTTTGTTTATTTCAGTCTGTGTGTGTGCGTGTGTAATGTACGTTCGCTCATATACACAAACCTGTCGAAGGCGCATGTGCCACCGCCCCGACCTGTCCCTGAAGGCATCTCGACCGGCGCGTCAGCTCCGGCATTCTCCCTCTAGCGGGCGTCGAAGGAGGTCACGCGAGCTTCTTGGCTTTGGTCAGTCACAAACCACGGGTGAGTGAGTGAGTGAGTGTGTGTGTGTGTGTGTGTGTGTGTGTGTGTGTGTGTGTGTGTGTGTGTGTGTGTGTGTGTGTGTGTGGAGAAAGAGAAGGGGGCGGGAGAGAGGGAGAAAGAATGGAAAGAGAGAGGGAGTGGTTGGGGAGGAGGGGAGAAGCAGAAGGAAAGAGAGGAGAATGATAGAGAGAGGGGGGGGAGAGGAAAAGAGTAAGACAAAGAAAAAGAAAAGAGAAACTAACTTAAACATAGACATAGTCTGAGACCAAAACATAGACCGAAACCGAGACCAAGACGTAGGCATAGACATGGACACAGACCCAGAGACAGAGACAGAGAGACAAACACATAGAGAGAGAGACAGGCAGACAGAGAAAGAGAAAGGCGCAGAGACATATACAGACCGAGAGACAGAAACAGACAGAGACATAGACAATTCAATTCTTTAATCTAATTAGGTATCACGACACATAGCATTGCATTTTACAATTAGTAAAGCTTTTGTACTCATCTCCAGAATTTACCCAGACACTGAAGCTGGAACATGGAAACGATTAATTTACACGTTATTAAAGCTTCAAAACAAATTAAATGTACAAATATACATATACACAGTGTTTAATCCCTTTTGGTTCACATAGAGCCTATAATTGTTAAACAGAATACAGTATAGGTGGATAACATAATAAGTGTACAGAAATTATTACCCCTGTATGGGTAGTGCACGACGAACTGCGCTGCACCTCTGAGAAGTGTGAATATAGGCTTACACTCCTTATCAGGGTCTTGGAAAATTTGAATTAGGTGTATTACATAAGTGAAATAATTGTAGTCTAAGCTCTCTATATAGTTAGCATTCTAGTAGGAAGTGAATTTGGGCCTCGATTTCTACACTGTCCCGGCATAAACATATCCGTTCTGAATTGCCAAGTCTTTACAGAGAGAGACATAGACAGAGACAGAGACACAGACAGACAGAGACACGGGCAGACAGAGACACAGACAGTCAGAGAGAGAGAGGGACCGACAGAAAAAAAAAAAGAAGACAGAGAGAGAGAAAGAAGGAAAAGGAAAATGTACATTTGTTAAAGAAAAAATAAGAGAAAAATATATATATATTGTTGCAAATCATCCTTGCAATAGCGTGGCACGGGCGAGAGAAAGATGGCACTTCACTATTTTCCCTTTATTCTACTTCACTATTTTCCCTTTATTACAGCTTTCAATGTTGTTATTCAATAATTACTGCCATATCTTTTTATTATCAACATTGTCATCAAAGGACTTCATTATTGTTATCATTTGCATGATGTTTATTATATTTATTGCCACTATTCCCATTTCCATTACTAATTATTATCATAATCATTATCGAGTTTTCTTTTCATCTTTATTCATCTTTTCCCTTTCATTGTCGTGTTTGCTGTGTCGTTCGTTCCCGTTCCAAGCCTAACGTGAAAACCCGGTTCCTACTGGCGCTCTTATCATTGTCATTCCCGTTCCAGACCCAGTATGAAATCCCGGTTCCTGCTGGCACTCATGCTGGCACTCCCGCTGGCTCTCATGCTGGCCCTCCTACTCCCTGTGCCAGCGAGCTCCACGGAGGCCACGACCGCCGGCTCTATGTGGCGGTCGGCCTTCTTTCGAGCGAGCCTGAGGGAGGAGGCTGTTGAGGAATTTCGCTCCGGGACAGAGCTCCACTGCGCCCACGCGGCCCAGAGGCGCGACTGGTGCTCGCTCTACTGCTTCGAGGACACGATGTGCCAGCTGTACAACGTCACGCACCCAGCCTCGAGGCCCAACGACGCCGCTTCTGGTGTCGCCTGCAAGACCACCGCCGCCGTACGCCGTGAGTTGAGGAGCAGACTTACTCTCTCTCTTTTTCTCTCTGTCTGTCTGTCTGTCTCTATCTCTCTCTTTATACCAGGGAATTTATATATTATAACATCTATTCTAAAACCTGCCATTTATAAAGCATTTGAAAGTCTGGATAGAACATGTAAATGGAATACCGTTGTTGCTGTTTATATCATTCCACAAATTTACATATCTACAAATAAAATGAGACGTGCTCGCCGTGGGAGGGCGGAGGGCAGCTGGGTTCTGCTGCGTTGCCCTTGTCAGACGGGCGCTTCGTCGTGGCTGCTGTTTGAGTGGCGCCAGATGAGGGACGTCTAAGTGCTGGGCCTTGTACTTGTAGTAAGTCCTGCCACATCTCTTCGACGCTGAACATTTATGTCAGCTTTATTAGAAGTTCTACCGATGAGTGTGACAACTCTCCAGGAGACAGATGCGTTTGAGCTGCTCCGTTTCATGCCAGGGAGGAGTATTCCAGTGCTGAACGAACTTGTGACTTGTAGAGCTGTAGAGCACCTTCTGGAGATGGGAGATGGAGAATCCTTCTTAGTGCGCTCAGCTTCTGTGTGGCTTTGCGAGCCAGGCTTTCGATGTGTTGGCCAAAGTTCAATTTAAAATCGAAAGTAACTCCAAGTATGTTGATGGAATCTTACTCTTGTAAAAGGTGTTCTTGCATGAAGAGAGCCTTGTTTCTTGTGATGCGGTCCCTGCTTCTTGATATGAGGGACTGGCTTTTTTCGGCAGCAAATTTATCTTCCAACAGGAACCCCAGTTTGATACAATATCAATAATTCCTTGGAGTCTTGAGCTGCTTGTGTTGGCGTTGTCTTTGGAGAAGCTCAGGTGAATAGTGAGGTCATCTGCATACGCCACTGCCTCTGGGATTTGTTGGAGTAGATCATCGAAAAAGATGTTCCACATTAATGGTCCTAGGAGGCTGCCTTGTGCTTTAATTGGGTATCTTCAGATTCTTCGCCTCCTACAACCACAGTGATGGTTCTATCAGTGTGGTAATCTTTTTATAATACCAGAAAGTTTCCCTCTATCCCTAGACTCTTGATTTTTGAAAGGAATCCATTATGCCAGACGGTATCAAAAGCACCTGATATGTCCAGTGCAATGACCCGGGTGTCGTATCCATTGTCTAGGTTTTGACTCCATTTGTGTGAGAGCAGTAAGAGGTCTGATGCCGATTTTCCCTTCGCGAAGCTAAACTGACGAGAAGAAAGCAATCTGTTGTCGCCAAGGTGCTCACACATCTCTTGCACAATTATCTCTTCAAAGACCTTTGCAATGACTGGCAAAAGAGAAATTGGTCGACAGTTACATGGTTTTGATTTGGAATCCTTTTTGTGCACAATCACTGCAGATTTCCAAATAGAAGGCCAGCATATCTTTGAGTAGCACTCTGTAAAGATGTGTTAGAGGAAAGGCCACTTCAGCAGCACATGTACGGAGATGTGGGCCAACTCCGTCTGGACGAGTGGCTTTATTCACATTAAGCTTTGCCAGAATACGCTGAATATTTGATACTTGGATGTTCAAGAAATTCAGCTTCTTGTTGGTTCGTTGCAGTAGAATGGGAGGAGGACTTTCGGGGTCCAAAATTGTTATGTTCTCTGCAAAATGCAGAGCAAGGGTCTCTGCTTTCTCCATGTTTGTTGTGGTTGTAGATCAGTTTTTGCAAGTAAGTGGTGGGATGAGATCTTCCCGTGAAAGGTCTTGCATGTATATGGCATGTTGTATACGCCGTATGTATGCCATGCATGTATGAACTACCAATTTACAGTTGTTAACCAGTCCTAAATTGCCGAATGGGTAGTTTCGGGGGGGGGGGGGGCGAAAGGAATTATATGAAGAAATAAATGCTACTACAAGTCATGGTACGATATGAATTATATATATATATATATATATATATATATATATATATATATATATATATATATATATATATATATATATATTAGTAAATAAGCTATTCGCAACCCCCTCCGAATAAGTCTGAACTGACCAAGAACATGAGCCCGAGTGAGCACACCCCCTGGACTGATTAACAACTGTAAATTGGTAGTTCATACATGCATGACATACATACGGCGTATACAACATGCCATATACAGGACACATTAAACCACGTGGCACAATGAAC